TAATATGTTTAGATTTGATACAAACTCGATTTGGATAATTTATGTTATCAACTTAAAATATAGTTTGTTTTAAAATGACCTTATGTTATTTTCATTATACCTTGTTTTTAAGAATCGAGTACAGAATTAAAGGTACTTACCTTTGTGTGATTTTAAATACTTACTATTAAATTATTTTCTGAAACTAATATTTGACTGTTAAAATATATTTTGATAAATTTAAAGTAAAAATCAATTATAGTATAAAAATAATGTCATAATATTTAAAAAAATTAAACATTTTTATTTGCAAAACATTTTTATATATTATTAAGAATATCTCGATAGATTTATTCTATAATCAATTTTTGTGTAATTTCGAATCCGTTGCAACGTTTATCTTCGGAACTATAGTTACAGTTCTTAACTATGCAAATTATCATTGAAACTCTACAACCAACAATTATACCCTAGAAAATAACCTTAATAATATAACAATCTGTAAAAGCTTTAATATAATTAAATTTGGATGTATCGTAAATATTTCCTAATAAACAAATTGATTTAATAACATGAATATCATTTAAGTTATATTATGTCAGAAAAATTAAGTGGCTATAAAAAAAATAAATATCGCTTCGTATTTTAATTATTATTTTGATTGATACTCACTGTTCGTAAGTTCAAATTAAATTAAATTTATCACTATTGTTACTATTGATATTCTTTGTTAAAAATCATTTTTGTTCAATTATTGTTAACAAACATGAAAGCTATTTCATGTAAATGATTTTCGTCATTGAGTATTAAACAAAATACATGTTTCTATTATTGAGATAATTTGTAGTGAATCAAAAAAAGAAAAAATAATATAAAAAACTTTACATGTAATAAATGTATTATTTTAAGGGGTTATTAATTTAGGGAGCTACTTTGAGAGTTGCTTAAAAGTAATAAGTTAAATAGAATATGACGGGATTTGGGCTCTTATTTGATTCACTACTTTATTGTATTAATAATATTATTACTCGGGATATGAGTACGAGGGTCTGTAAGAAAGATAGAAGATGATTGAAAAATAAAGTGATCTTTATTTTATTAATATGTGATTCATTATAATTAATTGTCAATTTTTAAATATCAATAATGCCACGAGTTTTGACGGTTATCGATGATAGGTGGGATTGAGTCATTCGCGTGTCTACTCAGAGTGGTATGGTGGCTATACATATGAACCTCCAACCTAACTCCTGAAATAGACACGTATCAACGATATAACTCTGCCAAGTAACTCTGTACAAACATTATCGATTTATTAAATTTACTTGGTATATTTATTATTATTGATAATCACTTGATTTTCCTGTATGCCTACTTAATCTATGTACTCATAAAATTTAATTCTAAACCTTATTTATTTTTGGTGAATTTATTAGATTCCTACCTTGATATTTTCTGCTATACTCTTAAATAAATAGATGTTGTGTTTTTCTTTGAACAAATATAACTGTGTTGACGGCGGATCACTTCTTGCATATATTTCGTAGTGTGGAATGATCGAGCGTAGTGAGTGCCTCTGTAAATATCTGATTTCATCTGTCTCAGAATGCTCTTTATTTTTGGCTTTTTATATTAAATTTGACCGTAGTTCAAAGGCAAGAAGTAATCCCCGACGCCACCGTTATTTCTTTATTAATCGTAATTTATTACATGTTATTTATTACATTTTCATCAATAATGATCTACATATTATAAAATACTATCATATCTTATATAATAATTTAGACATAGTTTATTACCCTTCATCTTATGTGCTACCATTACATATTGTTTATTATTTCCTGTTTGTTTTATATAATTAATATATACTCTTTTTCTACGAAGTTTCATTAGTATTTTTAAACATTTAAAAGGTACATATATATATCTTATTTTTATTGGTATACATTTTATTTTGTGTAATTGATTGATTGAAGTCTTAAATACTACATTATGACATTAATGATCTAATGTGTATACAAATAATTTATTATGATATTAATGATGTACTATGTATATCNGTAATTTATTATGACATTAATGATGTACTATGTATATCATTACAAATTATAATTACTTTTGCATAGATTAAAAATAATTATTTAAATTCTTAAATATTTATCATTTTTAAAATATTAACTACTGGCGTCTTTAAGGAGGATATAGATGTAATATTTCCTCCATGACAAAAATTGTAATATGGTGCCATATTACAATGATACAAATTTTTTGTTTAGGCGAGTTAGTGAACATTTTTCATATGTATTTTTCTCTAAAGGCAAAATTACACTTACATCACTGGAACTTACAAATTGTTTATTTATTTAATTTCTACTCATTTTCAGATGTTGGATACCTGTTACCCTAAATTAAACTGGTATTACTGGGGAAGGGATAAATGCAGTGGTTTCTTGTTGCGTTCTGCACTGGGACATGGTGATTTTTGCCATTATGTATGGTCACCCATCCGTACACTACGATAGCAGGCGTGATCTGACAATAGAGTTTTGAAAATTTAAATGTGTTTAAAATAATAACTTTAAAATTTAAAATACACTATACTTATATTAAAAATTGTTTATATTATATGCCTGATAAAATTTGAGAAAATGTGTTATCGATGATGTTTTTTTGTTTACTTATAATTGATAAAGCAAATAAAATTAATTTAAAACTAATTTAATTTAAATGAGGGTGTATAGTTAATTTAGACGTAAAATACACTCCTAAAATTAATATAATATTTACATATTATGTAAATCTTGAGTAGTACCAATTGAGTTATATTTTTAACTATCATATCTAATTTACATAGAATTATTATACAAAACAATGGTATGAACACAATCCAAAATAAATGGAATAGCATGACTATGTGAAAGGTAATAATAAATTTTGTAGAAAATAATTTTTATTCATCAAGTATGAATCATAAAATTCACTTTTACCAGCTTAATTATTTATATTGCTATCGCAACTTTAATGTTGCACAGTCACGTACAATTTTTTTAAAGACAGCTTTTTGTGCTTCCTTTTTAATTCCTACCAAAAATTTTACATCACAATTAGAAAATTTCATGAATATTAAATTAAACAATGTACTAATATAATACTAAACAAGAAACAATATCAGTTTTACTTAACGACTTTAAATCATTTTAAAATAAATAAAACAGTCACTATAAATTTATTAATTTTAATGTATGTTATACTTCAATTTTTTTTAATATAATATACACTTAAAATAAAATTATTAGAGTTTTTGTTTGCATTATAAGATTATACCAAATCAAAGGAAAAAAATTTAGTTTTTAAAAAAGTTGAACATAATAAAATTTAAGGTGAAAGGTAACTTAACAGTTCTAACATTAACTAATATTGAACACTTTTAAAAAGAATTGGTGGAAACTAAAGAACTTAAATCTTTCAACTACGTTATTCACTAGGGACTTAATGTCAACATACTTGAAATTTTACACTGTTAACGACACTATGAAACTAAAGTCAATAATAAATAGGAATCGAATTGCCCAGGGATCTTAGGTGTTATGTATAAAACCAGACGAACTCGGTTATGTATGTTGGTAATGTGATTTGTACTTATACCCAGTTAATGATACTTTAACTGACATTTGTTAACGGCCATGTACAAAACTATTTCTTTTAAAGACAACCTTGAAACATAACAACGTAACCGAAACGTTTAAATACGCTATTTAGAAAATGAAAGGTGGATTTTCATTGTCGACTAATAATCATTAAGCAGTTCGTAATCCCCTTAATTAAAGAAACATTCAATAATATTATTTATTATTGTACTATTTACTAAAAATAATATTTTTATTTTGATAATTTGTAACATTTAATTTTTTTATGAAACAAAGAAAAAATAGAGTAATCTAATACAAGTAATATATAGATAGACTAAATAAATTATATTACCATTAAATTACTTTCATAATATAAACATAATGTAAAAGTTATTTAAAGGATGACAATTCTATACTTTTTGTTTTATTCTTAATATTTTCAACTGATAAGTGTTAAGAACTAATCCTTAAAAATTGTTCAAATTTTTAAATTTATCTAAACGAGCTGATCTTAATTATATTTTTTATGGTTATTGATCTCTCGAGTAATTTTGTTCATTCAAATACAATATTTAATAAATTCGAGTCTTTATTTGATTTTTGTTTAGATATTCTCAAAACAACATTTAAGTGTAAATCATATTCTCATTGAAAGATAACATTTATTAAATATTTAAAAGAATGCCACAAAAATATACATTTTTTTAATTACTAATACTATTGTTTGAATTAAAAAATGCTGCAGAGTCCATTTTTGAATTTTTTAAAAGTAGCATTTGATAAAAAATTATTTATCCATTATGGATATATAATTTTTGACAAAACTTTTAAAAAAGTATTTAGTAATCTAGACTAAATAATCCTAATAGAAAACTATTAAAAATCGTGTTTTCTTTATTAGTTGCATGTCAATAATACTATAAAGTCGATTTTAAATATGTATTAAAATATTTGTTTACATTTTATTATCAACCTATACGGGTTCTCTTATACTCTTTAAAGATGTATTCATTGATATTACTATATAGTAATAAAGAAGTTTTCTGCAATGCAAACATAACTGTTTTGGTAGTTTTCTGACACACAATTTCTAAAAAAATTGTTTTTTTCAATATTTATTGAGTCAGAATTCCTAATTACTCAAAAGTATTTGTTAATCTGCAATAAAATATTTTGGGTGATTAATATTTTATCAGCTGCTAAACCTAAAAAAACAAATTATTCTATTTACTTAAGTATCTATGATAGAGCTTATGATATGTCTTTCAATAAATGTAAAATGAAGATAGACCTGAGTATGCAAAAATAAAGTAACAAGTTTTTTTTTAGATTTCATACATAAAAATGCTTATTAATGCAAGTTCTGAACATTTATATGTGAAATATTTATAGTTCCAGGCAGCATTACTACAAAAATGGAATCTGCCATCGTTTATGTGTGCCTTTTGTCCGTTTATATCCGCACTGTCAATCACAGTTAGTGTATTTACACTTACAGCCATTGCCGTGGATAGACGCCAAGCCATTCTGAATCCATTCGCGTAAGCTTACTACTTTTATACTTTAAATTTTTTATGTGTAGTAAATTACAAACAAATTTTGTTATCATTAGTGTGAACAAATATTTATGTAATGAAATTATGTTTATAGTATATTATTAATTAGTTGAACTGAAATAACGAATGTAATCGCTGTTATCAAAAATCTTTAAAGTTATTATGTTTAAAATATCTATTTGTAAAAAATTACTTTAGTGCTCATGTTAACGTATTATTTTAAACAGAATTAAAGCAAATATATTATTGACGTTTCAAAATAAATTTTATTAAGACAGAAGTCTTTAAATTTAATTTGAACTATGTTTGTACTATTTTCATTTTATTATAAAAAACGAGGAAAGTAAATTTTTAGCATATTTTATAGGCAATAAAAATGATAAATTTTAACATAAAATTAAAAACAAATTATATATTTATATTATTACATTCACATATGAATTCCTCAATAATTTCAAAAAATAACACAGTCTAATTTTCCGGAAAAATCAATTCTTCAAGAAATTTTCAAAGAATTTTGAATTTTATAAACTATAAAATAAGAACAAGATATATCATTTAAAATCGGAATATTATTTATATATTTATAGTTAGAGATTGATTGAAAAAACAGTAGCATAGTGGGGTCGCGGCACAGAGTGGACGTGGCATAGTTGGGTCAAGTATAATGATATCTGATTGATTGAAATCACTATCATAAAAAACGCTTCGATGCAAAATCTGTACATAGTGTTTAATTTTAAAAAAATTGGTGGATTATTCCAAAGCAAAAGAAATTCCTATTTCCTTTATTATTCCTGATTTATTTCTTGAAATTAGAAAACTGTTTTATGGATAAATATTTATTAAGGATTAAATATAGTATGAGATTGATATTTAATAATTTAGTATTGTAGTTTTTTGGGAGAATTAATAAAAAATTATAAAGTAGTTATTACTTGTATGGCAAACGTGTAAAATAATTGAAAGGTTTAATACAAAACTTTACAAAACAAAATTTGTTGTTAATTATGAATTAAAGGTTTTACAAGGAATTGTCTACTGATTCAATAATATACTTTTATTATTTAATTTTTCGTGCTAATTTCAAATCTTCAATTAGATTTTTTCTATCACCCCTAATATACTACTAATTAGTTAAAAAATGAAAAAATTTCCCTCGTTTCCCGTAAATGGGGAAAAGCTTCAAAAAAATTATAAATTTAAAAATCGCTAATTTTCAAAATTTTTAAAAAATTTTTTAATAAAACCTGCCATAACTTTTTTAAAAATGAACAAATCAAAATAATTTTTTTTTTTATAGATGCTTGAAGGCTTTAATTATCATTTAGTATATTTTTTTTATAAATTTGACCCTTTACCTGCCCACAGGGGGGGATTTAAAATGACAACTATTTTACAAAAAATTAATTTTTTAAACTTAACATTTGAAAGTGTTCCGGAAAGTCTGACACTTTTATATATATCTTAAATTAAACCTAATGTAATGTTTTTTATTATAAAAAAAAAAAATTTCGAACTTTATTTTGTCTTCACGGTAAAAATGGCTGCCGAATGCTATTTTTGTATAAAAATTCTCCATTTTAAATTTAAATTTTTTACTTTAAAATGCTATAACTTTTTAAAAAATGTATGGATCAATACAAAGTTTTCATGAGAAGTAGTATTTATATACATCTTTCATTCGACATACTTTATCTTAATCAGGATATAAATAAGGAAATAGCAAATAATGTAGCTTTTGGAATAATCCACCAATTTTTTAAAATTAAACACTATCTAAAGATTTGCATCGAAGCGTTTTTTTATGATAGTGATTTTAATTACTGTCAGATATCTTACTTGATCCAACTATACCACGCCACCACTGTGCCGCGACCCCCCTATGCTGGGTTTTTTTCAATTATAAACTTTCATTAAAATTAACTTTAAATAACCAAAAAAATACGTTGAACATGACATTTTGAACCGAAATTTTGTACAGATTTGTTTTAATATATTAAAAATAAAAATAAATGTTTAAATGTACATAATACTTGTTTTTATAAATTAGTAATAATGTAAAAAAAAAAAAATCTAATTGTAGTTATTCAATCTAAAAGAGATAAAAATCAATTATTTAACATTTTTTCACCTCAAAAAATATTAAGAAAAAAATGCAAAAGAAACTATTCAGCAGACGGATTTGTACGATATTTGATCTTTTGACATATTTTTCATCAAAATCGGTCTAGTGCGGTTAAGAATAAGTGGTAACAGTCACAAAAAAAAAAAAAAAACACATCATAGTAAGATTAATACCTTTTCGTCTTCGCTAAGCTTTTCGAAGCTAAAAAAAAGTTAAATCAGTATGATAAATGTTCTTGAAATTTAAAAGGGATATTAAATTTTTGGTAAAAATTGAATAAATACATTAATTGTTTTTATATTAAGTATGAAATGTATGCTTAAAACTGATTTATTATAAAATCAAGTAGTTTTAGAGGTGCGTTTCCCAACAAATTTTATTAAAACAGAAAGCCTTAAAATTTAAGTTGTACAATATTTGCATTGTTCTATTTTAAATTGAAGGAAATTAAGAGAGGTTAAAATAAATTATCTATTCTTAATTATTATTGTACATGAATTAATTTATAATATCGTTATATAACCGTTTTTATCCTGCTTTAATTTTCTAGAGAAATCAATTCTCCGAAGACACTTTAAAAGTAAATAATTTCTATTTTATAAAATTTAATAACAAACTCATGGAGAGTGAAAAAAATTCAATAATGCATATCTATATAATTAATTAAATTAAATTATTGATAATAATTATTGTCCAATTACTATCCAACAATACGAAAATTAGGGAACCCATGTTTTTCTTGTATGCCTTTGTATCTAATATTTCTTATACATTTTTTGAGGTATTCAATTAATTAAAATTTTAATATCAGAAATAAACTATCCAAAGCAATGGTTATTATAATAAGAAATAAAAATAATAGATAATATTATATTAATTATAAGTTCATGTTATTTAGTTAGATAAAAAATATTAATTACTTAAGCTAAAGATGTTTTACTCATATTTTATTTTTGTATTTCTTATAAATTTGAATACTAGATTTTAATAATAAGATTTTTGGGCCAGATATATCTAAATATGGTAGCTTGATTATAAATAAAGGAATTAAAATTTAAAAAAAAAAGTAGTTTGATTTTAATATTATTATTAAAATTTGTTTATTGTAATTATTATATTAAACGTTTAAAACATTATTTTATTCGTTTTTAGCGTATTCTGGTATAATTGATAAATTTAAAACGATTTATTAAATATTTGTACGTTATATAAATAATTTTTCTGTATAATTTTATCATCTAATATAGACCTTTTCCATGACCTTAATAGCCTCTACTTTCTGTTATTTCTGTGACACTGACTTTGTACTTTAACTTTGTAATTACCTCTTTTGCCCATTTATGATGTCTCATTCCTGGAACTAATATTTTGCCCATCTAATAATTTTAACCATCACTTTCTTTTTTATTCAACGTCAAAGTTACAGTCTTTTCCTACTAATCTTGTTTATAATCTTTCCAACGAATTTGTATTCTTTCGGTTCGCTTATTATTAACTTATATTTGCTGATAATTCAATTTGTCCAAATTCAACGGCTTTTTATTTTTATTCCTAGTCTTAATATTAGACTAAGATGTTCTCTCATAATTTTGTTCTTTTACTTCTGAATTTTATGCTATTTCCTTGGTCCTCGAGCTTATTCGATTCATCAAACTTTCAATTGTTTTAATATTTTCTAATTCATTGAAAGTTCTTTTTTTCGCTCTTCTAACCTTTTTAAAAATGCTGATCTTTTCTCGCTGTCAAACTGCATTAACTCGTCATATTTTTTTAGGTAATTCAAACAGAGAATTTTTATGGTGTCCTAATCACGTAGGTATCTTTTTTATACATTTGTATAAAAATTAAAGAAAAACTATAAACAATTGTCTAGGAAATCAATAAACTAATTAATAATGAGTATAATCGGGTAATGAACATTAATAGTAACGAAAATTAGTTATACACATTAACTTCAAAATCAAAAAGAGAATATCTTTTATTTAAAAATAAGCAACCACAGGTTAATATCTTAGGTTAGAATTTTTATCTTTAAATAATTTTTACCAATCTAATTTCATCTGTATTTTAAAAATTAAAAAAACATTTCATGCAATTTTTGTTAGAGATTTATTTATAAATTTGGAGCATAACTCAGATTGTTATTGAACTGAGATGGACATTAATTAATTCTCCTAAAGCTTAGTTTCTTTTATAAGGTAACAGAAACATCGTTATAATCTATGGAAACAATAGAAACCTTTTTTTAATTTCTAATCACTTTGTTTGCGAAATAATAATGATTATATACAATATACTATTAAACTGATTGTAAATAGATACTGTTTGTAGACTATATATAGGTTATAAAAATCCTTTCTTGTATTATAAAATTATATATATAATAAAACAACCTAATGAAATTTATTTTTGTATTAAACAACAAAATTATATCAGAAAACACTACAACGAATAAAGCAAACGTTTAAAATTATTATTGCAATAAACATTTTATAATAATAACTTAAAACAATTTTTTTTTAATTTCAATCCTTGTATTTATATTTAGGCTGTCAATAATAATCAAGTATTGAATATTCAAGAATATGGAAATATTGTAAAATATAAGATTTCTCATGAAGTTTATTTATGTAGATTAACAGTCCAGATAATAATTATTAAATACTTATTATCTTATAATATTAAAGTTGTAATAAATCCGAAATATGAACTTGTTAAAGTTTTTATGGATTGCTGTATTATTTAATATATACTTAAATATATATACACATCTTTAGTTTTGTGCTGACGTTTCGAACTTGTTGCACAGTTCATCTTCGAAGCGACAGTTACAGTTCTAAATTATATTGTCGGCCTATCTTGTTTTCTGATCATTTTTCTATCGCTAATTGATAATCATATATGGATTATTTTTGATGTTGATAGAGATATACAAATTTTTTTTATAATATAGTCAATTAATTATTTGAAAGAAATTATATCAAATAAAGTGTTAAATAAATAAATAAATAAATAATGGTAAAATTAATACTTTCTCAACTTTGTATTGAAACTATAGTTTGTTAGGATGGCAAAATCATACACTTTTCTTGATTTTTTTGTAAGTAGGGACCTTATGGCAGAACTTCAGGTTCTGGTGCTCTAATTACAATTTTATTATACATTTTAGTAAGATTATAATTCAAATTACACAAAATAATCATTCAACATTAAATTTATCATATGTAATTGAGTTTTCTATGGATTGATTCAAGGTATTTTAAACAATTTGTTTATATACTTGTTCAATCATGTACTATTTTTGGATAATTGTACGCATAAAAGTAGAATAGTCAATTTATTTGATGAGGAAGAGCTAAATTTAATCCTCCCTCGCCCCAAAAAAAAAAATTGTTTCTATATTTCAGAGGGACTTAATTGTAAATTAGAAGGCTAAACCCTAGCTCTCCACTCCGCCCCCGAGTCTCGTACCAATATTTTATTATATATGTTGTTCAAATCTCATTTTATGTAATCCTTGAACTGTATCCTTATTTACTAAACATTCTGTACAATAAAATTTAACAAATATTAGCACTAAAGTATATAAAATTAAATATTTTTCGCGTTTTTCAGTCATTAAAGTTATTATTCATTAAACATAAAAAAAAATAAAACATTTTTTGTATGTTTTTTTCTCAGGTTTTTTTTCAAATAAGAAGTAAAACTATTTTTTTAAACCTATGGTTGTGGATGTTATTGTCGTGTTGTGTTGTTATGACTGTCTGCTTGTAATTGATGTTATTTTCGTTGTTGTTTTCGACGTTCTTTACATTTTACTCTTCCTTTTCTGAATGACATTTTCCAGGTATGTTTATTATGGCCTTTCATTGTGTTATTTTGTTTATTATCTAGTCTTCTTTTTTCTTGGTAATAGGTAACCAAGTCTTTCCGATTTTCCATTCATCTTCTTTGTTTTAATTTTCTATTTCTATTGCTATTTTTATACATTTGATTACCAAGATGATATCCTTATTCAAAATTTCGACCTTATCAAATTAGATTTAGTGTCCATTGTTTTTATGTATTCGGCTACCGTGGATTTTAATACCCTTTGATAGTCTACGTCTTTTTTATGTTTTTTTATTCTTGTTGCAATTGCTTTTTATATTTGTCCAATATATTTTTCCACATGAACAAAGTATTTCATAGAATTCTAATTTTCGCATCCAGTTATACGTCCTTTGGGCTTCGAAGTTGTGTTTCTAAGATTGTGATCGTTTTTAATTCAGTCTTATTTTGAATTTATTTGTGGTTCGGCAGATACGGTACGTAAATTCTTGTGTTTACGACAATATTAAAGTTCCTTTTTATTTTCTACTTTGTTTTNAATTCTTGTGTTTACGACAATATTAAAGTACCTTTTTATTTTCTACTTTGTTTTCATTTTAGCTAATGCTTTTCATTTTTTTTCTTTCGGCTTTTTAATGTTTTGAATAGTATAACTATTATTTAGAAGGGTTTTCTTAAAAAAAAATGTGATTTCTTCTTTATTGCTGTGTTCGTCAGCTAGTTTTACAATTCTTGTTGCCATTGTATATTTATACAATGTTTAAAAAGTTAAAAAAAAGGTAAATTGTTAAAAACAATGAAAAATATTGAAACCCGTTTCCTTACTCACTGAACTCTATGTATAGTTATTCCATTTTCTGTGTAGAGCGGTGGTTTGAATCAGCATATATGTGTTTGTTACATAAACGGGTTTCTATTGTTCTCATTGTTTGTAAAAATTGATCTGTTTCCTTATTTACCAAACATTTAGTACATGTTATGTTATGTATTTTCACTGTAAACTGTATGTCGGTGTGTATTATTGTATTATTAGATATTCCAAGTACTATTTTAGTTGGTTATCACCGTGATATCAAAGAACAAACGTGAAAAACAGTGTTTAGTAAGTAAGGAAACGGGTTTCTTTTGTTCTCATTGTTTATAATAATTGATATGTTTCCTTAATTACTGAACACTCTGTATTGCTTTTTCTTTAAACTATCCCATGAATATATTTAGAAAACTGGTGCTAATTTTAATCGTATTGCCATCTTATCAGTTTGTTAATAGATAATTTCTAGTTTGAGTGACAACTGTTGCCTCTGTACAAAATTTCATTAGGCTGTGGAGAATTTTATCTAGCCATTTTTTTTCTTTTATTATGTTCAGTGTGATTTTTACTGACATTAATATATAGAAACTATTCTGGTAATGTTATTAGATAATTATTGTAATATGTAATGTATAATATAAAAGGATTAATTTAAAATATTATAATATATTCTCAAACATATGAATTGTGGCCATATTATTTTCTGGTAACATTGCTGTAATATTTTAGACTAAAAAAATAATCATTTAGAAATATTTACAGTATAGTTATTGTTCTTTTTAAAATTGAATTTTGGAAGATATGAAAACATTTTTATATTTTTATTAAAGTATTTTAAGTTGAAAATGATTAAAATTATAAATACAGTATTTTACCAACGTATTGCATACATACAATTTTCTAGAAATATATTATTTCTATTAATTTTGAATTGTTTGATACCTTATATTTTTCTGATATTGTCATTACATAACAATTTTAGAATTATTATTTGACCATTCTCTTATTATTGTTATAACTTTAAATTTATAACATTAAAGATTTATTAAATATCTATAAATAATTCAACATTTTTACCTGGTTAGTTCAGACCTAGTACTTAGGGTAATTAACTTTTAATTAAAAAAAAAAATGAAAAATATTGACCTACACAAAATCTAATACATCATATAATTTCTTTATTATTATCCGAATGAAAATATGTAAATATACTTTTATAAATTGGATCACAAATATTTAATATTAAATTATTTAAAAATTTTTTAAGATTTATTCATTAAAACATAACCATATTTACAGAGCTCGTACGTCTAAGACACAATGTCTTATAGTAATAGGAACTATATGGATTGCTGGACTAGTGTTGAGTTCACCGATGGCTTACAATTTTCGTGTTGTATACCTGGATGAAGACTGGCCATTTTGCTCGAATGTAAATCTTACGAGAGAAGTAATGCTCGTATATAAAGCACTTTTAGTCATTGTGCAGTACGTTATACCATTATCCATTATGACTTGGGCATATTCTGGAATCGGCTTCGCTCTTTGGGGGTCATCAGCACCTGGTAACGCTCAATCACAAAGAGATTTAAACTTGATGAGAAATAAAAAGAAGGTAAGAACTTAAATTTCATATTCTAGTGGATTTTATTATTATAAGGATTATTAAAAATAGATATTTTTGTATTTCTAAATAATTAATTTTTTTTATAAACCTATTTTTAATGGCCATTTTAGTATTAATTTTTAGAATAGAAGCTCATTAATAAGGAAATTTCTATTATTGCAACAAAAAATTTTTCAATTTAAAATTAATCCAAATAAAATCATTGTTTTGAATTTGTTATAAAAATATTATCTATAATAAAAAATTAAAGAAGTATTTTTTTTAATCAGTTTTACATTAATATAGTTCAAATAAATGTATTGAAATGGTAAGAAATAACTAAATTTAAGGATAAATCCAAAGTATATTTAACATTCTTAAAAAATAGAGTATATTGTCAGAGAATTGTAGAAAACAGATGGAAACTATTTTATTAAAATGATTCAAAGTTATATCAAAATTTATGCACTAATATAATTCAAGAAAGATCAAGATACTCTTGTAGGAAACGAGAAAATCTCGTGAGGCGCATTCGTTAATATATGAGATTTATCACTTTCTTACTAACTTAGTGTTTAATCTTAAAGACAGATATAACTTAAATATTATATGCGGATATGTGCAAATAGTTTTTATATATTTATAATTTTGAAATATAAAATGAATATTTAAAATCAAACCTTATCAGTCTTTTTTTTATTTTAAATTCTAAAATAAATAAAAATTATGTTTAATCTAAATAAAAATGTATACATTTCCTGTTTCTTATATACTTTAAACAAATCCCTAAAATAAAGTTTGTCTACTATAGATAACCATGAAATATCATATTTGGTTTCATCACTTTTTTTATTTTTCCTTTGTTTAATAAACATACTACTGTATTTTAATTTTAAAATGTTATTTTTACACAAAGGTTATTAAAATGCTGATCATTGTCGTTGCATTATTTACGCTTTGTTGGTTACCATTGCAGACATATAATTTACTACAACATATTTTTCCTAAAATAAACGAGTGAGTGAAATATCTTAAATAATAAATTTATAAATAAATTATGTCCTGCAATTATTTTGTTTAGGTATTCTTATATAAATATAATTTGGTTCTGTTTTGATTGGTTTGCCATGAGTAACAGTTGCTATAACCCGTTTATATATTCAATATACAATGTAAGTACTATAAAAAAAAAACTTTTTATAAAGTTTTTTTGATATCATTTTGTATGTAAAAAATAATAATAATATGAGCGATCAATTATTACAAAACATTATTGCACTAAAATACATTTCATAAAGTTTCAGACCCAATATTACGTAAATAAAGTTTTATTTCGTAGTTATATTTCTTGGACTAGTTTTTAATTCTCTTTGTGAATTTAATATTATTTTTAATATAGTATTCTAAAGTCAGGCAACTTTTTAGTGAAAAAGTCAACAAAAAATGTCTTATTGAATAAGTTTAGTAATCTAGAATTCAATATAAGCTTTAGGGTATGAAATAAGAGAACGATTAGAAATTTAATGCTTTTGGTAAGAATTTGATTTAGTTTTGTCAATTTCAAATGAACCAAATTGAACAATTCAATTATTTTTAATATACTATCTATTTAAAACAATCAATTTAATATATGAGTAATTTAGATATTTTAACTAAACATATAAATTAACTTTATGTTATCAGGAAAAATTTAAACAGGAGTTTAAAATGAGGTTAGATTTTATGTCAGGAAAAAGGCCATTGACAAGAAATATGAGCATATTTTCTAGTGGAGGGTTTGAATGGCGTACAAACCATGTCAACGTTCACGAACGAAATAAAAAGAATAATTCAATTGTAACCACTGATACTCCACTTATATTAACACCCGAAAGTTAAATGTAACATAAACTAACAGTATGGTCAGAAATTCATTCATTAGTTGAGTGAATAAAACCCATTTATTAAATTTTTGAACTTAAATTGCTGTTACAATGATTCCATTTTCTTTGTCATTTTGGCAGTTATTGTTAAAATATTGTACCAAATCGTAGTATTGTAACATTGAAAAAGTATTGATAATTTTTTCTTTTGATACTTATTTCTTACGAATATACAATTAAAATGAATTGTTAATATATTAAATATCAAATTAATGTTGTAAATTAAACCATTTGTTATATTAATAGAGATTTAATTTAAAGTAGAATTATTGTGTGTACTGTCCATATAATTAGAAATCTAATTACATTTAAAAAAATGTCCTAAATAATTTTTTTTTTTTTATTTTTTAATAATTTTTTAAACTACATAATAGTAAAATTGCAAATTATCAAAAGAGCTCATATGTGTGTTAAAATAAAAGAAAAAAATTGTATGTTGTTTTTCATTTCACACAACCAATATAATCAAAACGTACGTTAACTTCAGTTATTCGGTATGTATTTTTAAAAGATTAGTTATTAAAACAGGTAAGTTCACTAGATAATAATTCATAATTTTGTTTTATTTTTAATTAATGTTAAATTTTCAAATTTAATTCCTAGCTATTAAGTAGTCATCATTCTTATATTTATTTCCATTGTACTCGTTCACAGTACTATTAAAAGGAAATATACCATCAAAAACTAGTTTTTACGTCATCCCGTTGCAGAGTTAATGAATGTTTTAAATTATGACAAAATCAATACATTTTTAATAAAAGTTCGTATAATAAAATTTGCATTGTGTAAAGTTAAATCCATACAATATGGTTCTTACTTAAAAAATAAGCTCTTCCTTTTAGCTTCGATGCGAAGCTGAGAAGGTATTAATTTTACCATGATGTGTTTATTTTTTTTTTTTTTTTTGTCTGTCACTACTTTTTCTCAGCTCTCACTGGACCGATTTCTTTTAACAATACGTCAAAAGATCACAAATTGTAACTAGTTGAAAACATTACCCTTAAAAATTTAAAAATTTTCCCTCGTTCCCCGCAAATGGGGGAAATATCCAAAAAAATTACAAATTTAAAAATCGACAAATTTTGTCATTTTTTTCACTTTTTTTTCTTAAAACTTCCATAACTTTTTCAAAAATCAACAAATCAACATAATTTTTTTTTAAACTAAAACCTTAGATATTTTCCTTTCATTTGATATAATTTTTTTGAAAATTTAACACTTAACCTGCTCATGGGGGGGGATTTAAAATTGCAACTTTTTTACAAAAACTAACTTTTTCAACTTAATTTTTGAAAATGTTCCGGAAATACTGCGTCCTTTAAACATATATCAAATTAAAGCTTATTTTATGTACTATAAAATGAAAAAAAAAAATTTGTCCCGACACCTTATCTTCTATGTGCAAATGGCTGTCGAAATTATAAAAAAAATGTAATATTTGCGATAAAAATCACCTTTTATAACGATGTTTTTTGTACTTAAAACTGCCATAACTTTTTCAAATATTAACTAATCAAAATAATATTTCTTTATATTGAAACCTTAGGTAATTTTCTTTCATTTGATATCATTTTTTTTTGAAAATCTAACACTTATTCTGCTCACAGGGGGGATTTAAAATAGCAACTTTTTTACAAAAACTAACTTTTTCAACTTAATTTTTGAAAATGTTCCGGAAATACTGCGTCCTTTAAACATAAATCAAATTAAAGCTTATTTTATGTACTACTAAATGAAAAAAAAAATTTGTCCCGACGACCTATCTTCTATGCGCAAAAGGCTACCGTATTCAAAAATATGCTATTTTTTTATTAAAATTCTGGGTTTTGTATTTTATTTTATTTTAAAATATATTATTAGGGGAATAAACTGACTTTCATGAATATTATATAATATCATTGACATAGAATAAAGTTCATAAGACATATGAAATTATACTTATTAACATTTTTTACTTTTTTAAAGTCGAAAAAGTAATTTTTAAATTTGAGTTAGCTTAAATAGCCAATTTTATCATGCAACAAAAAGCAACGAACAGTTGCCGAATGGGTAACATCTTGATCTTTCACGCCAAGGGTACGAGGTTCACATCCGTCTGTGACTGCCAAAATTTTGCATTTTTTTTTTGAGTTAAAATAGAATTTTCAAATCATTTGATATTTATCTCATTTAGATTCAATAATTTCAATAAATATAAAGGATCTTATCACTATAGTCTCCCCTCGTGAGAAGAAATTGATATTCATGTTAATATTATTTTACTATGTGGTTCTTTTTNTTCATTGTTATTATTATTTTACTATGTGGTTCTTTTGTGGCTACAATTTATTTTGCCAACCCTCACTAGACCTACTTTTTTCAACGGATACGTCAAATGATTCATTTAAGTTTATGATTNGACGTCAAATGATTCATTTAAGTTTATGATATTTAAGTTATTACTCTTAAAAATAAAAAAAAATATTCCTTATTCAAATAAAAAGTAGCTTAACCAGCTTTTTCCATACAAACAATTAAAATCATTAATTTTTAATATTCTTAAAGTATTTATTGTCGAATTAGATTTGATATGATAAAAGTATTCAACTACAAAAGTAAATAATTTTACTTTATAATTTATTAATTTTTTAACTCTATTTCTGTGTGCTACTACCAGTCTATAATATGCCAAATTTTTTAGTAATATGTTGCTATATAAATCATAAATTTAAAAAAAAAATGATTTTTAGTTTCACCTGAAGTTAACGATGGAGTTTTACAATTATAATTATATTTTTGATAATATGCTCAATTGAGTAAATCTTTTTAACTACTTTGGTTTGATTGGTTCATTTAATTAAAGTAAATTATTAAAATTAATTAAGTTCTGAATATTTCAATTGCAGAATTTTTTTAAACACCAAAAGTTATTAGGATATGATTACTATTCTTTCTATTTCAGTTATCTATTACGATAAAAATGTAAAAAAATCGAATTTTTCTGACAAATGTACTGTAATTAGTAATTATAAAATTTCCAGATTGCATATTAATCTTAAAAATTTCATTTTTTTCAATTTAATAATGTCAATTTCAAACTTGCAAGTTGAACTATAAGTTATGGTAACAAATTCATTTTTTAGCTTCGATGCGAAGCTGAGAAGGTATTTTTCATTAAAACTTTCACTTTAAAAGACAATAAAAAATAGGTTCAAAATGATTACCTTTAACATATTAAAAATCAAAATCAGTATTAATTTAATACAATTTTTTTTGTTCTTAATTATTTTTTTTTATATGTAAATACTTATTTTTTAATAATAAGTAATAATATTAAAACTTAGAAGTAATAGAAAAAGTTTAATTGCACATTTGAAAACATCACGAAAAGTTTATTTAGAAAAGTATATTTTTTTTCTGATGAAAGTTCCTTTTGTTTAGTGTATTTATTCATAAGTAACAAAATTTTTTTATTAAAAAGTATTGCATAAATTCCTTTAAATTTGTATACGCATTAAAAGTATATGAATATACAACTCCTTTTTATTTTTATAATATCTCCGTAAAAATTACAATATTATATTATTGAATACCACTTTCATACTCAATTTAATTACTGTAATTATTATGTATTCATATATTATAGTTATAAATCGGGGTAAAATTAAGAGAATAAGTGTTATTGTTGTTTTTGAAATACTCTACCAATTTCATTTTTTTCTATTTAATGATATCTATTTCAAATTTGCAAGTTGAGTTAAAAGTTATGGTAATAAATTCATATTTTTTTTTTTTAAACTTTCACTTTAAAGGACAAAAAGAAGTTGGTTCAAAATGATTACTTTTAATATATTAAAAATCGATAATAATTTGAAAATAATTAATTATAAAAATTATATAATAGATAATTAAACGAATTACTAATCTGGATATAATTATGGAAATAGGAGTTGATGTTGGGTTGGGTTGGTTACATTTTTAACTTTATAATGCTACAACTCATTGAAAAATGTATGAATCAACACAATTTTTTTATGAGAAATAATATTTTTTAATAATCCCTTTTTCATTCGACATTCTTTATCTTAATCAGGGTATTAATAAGGAACTAGCAGATCATGCAGCTTTTGTAATTATCCACCAATTTCTTAGAATTAAACACTATCTACTGATTTGCATCGAAGCGTTTCTTATGATAGTGATTTTAATCACTGTCAGATTAAATCTATACTGGACCCAACTATGCAACGTCCCCACTATGCCGCGACTCCACTGTGCTGGGTTTTTTTTAGTATACTATTAACTAATAATTGATTGCCACAGTAAAGTTATTATTAGTAATATTGATCTTTAGGGTGGTACTTAAAATTTTTGTTAAAATATAAAAATTATACAATATAGAGTAATTTGAATGCTTATAAAAATGGGATACGCAAAGTTTTAGTTGAATCAAAAAACATTAACCTGCCACAAAAAGCCTTAAAGTTTAAAACTTCAATAATTTTGAACAGCCGTATATTTGTCATTGTATTTTTTCATTATAGCGCATTAAATAGTGGAATTAAAAAAAAAATTGTAAAAACTAAGCAAATTTAAAATAAAATTTTATGCAAATTATATTATTTAAAATTAAAAGTATATTTAATATAGTAATTTAAAACTAAAAGATATAAAAAATATGTAACTTAAAAGCCACAAAAATTACTAAAAAAATCAACGATACGTATTTCAAGAACAATGTTACTATTAGCAACGCTAAACACATAAACAGTAAGTGTTAAATATTTTTATATCTATTTGATTTGAATTTAGATATAATAAATATATTTTTCATTTTAAATTATATTAGTCACAAATAATCAATTATTTTTATATAAATTTTATTCTAATTAATTTTTTATAAATTTATTATTTATGAAAATAAAATTAGTACATATATTTTTGTTGTTACAAACTAACTAATTGAAAAAACTAAGCGTTAGTTTTATAGTACGACAAATAATAAGTAAAACTTGTACTATAACTATTTGTTTGATTAAATCTAAAAGGACACTTCAAGCGTAAAATTAAAATTAATCATTAAATGAATTATTTAAAACAATACTTTTTTTTTTTTTGGAATCTGGATTTTAACTGCAGTAATTGTTGTATTCTAATATATCCATCTATTTTATCTACCAGTCAACATTACATTACCAGATTACATTGTATTATTCGACATTTATAATTAATTTAAAAGTTATTTACAAACATATAAATAAGTATATAAACATATTGTTTTAAATTATGATACCATGTACTCACTAAACTTATGATTAAATAATAAACACAAGA